AGGAGCAGCATCTGGCGGGCTGCATCAGGGTGCAGCTCCTCCCTCACCGGGAGCAGCAGCAGCAGCAACAGCAGCAGCAGCAGCAGCAGCAGCAGCGGGGCCGTCAGCAGCTCGGATGTATACTGAGCTGCTGCGGGGGTACAGCAGCTTTGCTGTTAGCCAGAGAGGGTCTCTGCTTGCTGCTGCAGCCGGTAGAGATATTCAGATATTCTCTATGGATACCCTTTCCCTCTACGCTTATCTGCAGCTGCAGCTCCCCTGCAGCAGCTGCTACTGCAGCAGCTGCTGCTGCTGCTGCAGTAGCAACAAACAAAACCAACCAGCACAGTCAGGAGATATCTACAGAAATGGGAACACAGCAGCAGCAGCAGCAACCGCAACAGCAACAGCAGCAGCAGCAGCAGCAGAAACCACAGAGCTGCCACCCCCTTCCAGCTCATATGACGGCACGACCGATTCCCCGCAGCAGCAACAGCAGCAACAACAGCAGCAGCATCAGAAGCAGCAGCAGCAGCTGCTGCAGCCCGTGCAGCAACTCGATTTTGTTGCAGCAGATCGCGTGCTGCTGGTTCTAACGAGCTGCTGCCGACTCTTCCTCTTTTCGCTGCTGCAGCAGCAGCCGGCGCTGCTGCTGCAGCTGGACCTTCATCAGGTGTACGTACAGGCAATACCTGCCCTCGGGCTGCAGCAGCAGCAGCAGCAGCAGCAAAAGCAGCAGCAGCAACTCATGTCGAAACGCAGCAAAAGCAGAGACGACGGGGGAGATACTGATGATGACACAGAGCAGCAGCAGCAACAGCAGCAGCAACAGCAGCAGCAGGATGAGGAATGCGACGAGCAGCAGCAGCAGCAAGACGCCGATAGTGAACATCAACAGCAGCAGCAGCAAGAGTTGCAGGAAGAGCAGCAGCAGCAGAACGATATGCAGGAAGAGCAGCAGCAACAACAACAGCAGCAGCAGCACATAGAAAACCTCCCTGGGTGTAGTGCTACGCCTCTCGCGGGTGAGAGCGAGGGGTGCCGCAGGGGCAGGCTGAGCAGCAACAGCAGCAGCAGCAGCAACAGCAGCAGCCGCAACAGCAGCAGGGGACGGTTTTGTAGCAAAGAGCATCCAACAGGAGAGACAGCAACAGCAACTGCAACAGCTGCTGCTGCTGCTGCTGCTGCTGCTGGAGGAGAGAGCGAGAGAGTGAAGATCTGCTGCCTGCAGCTGCTGTCTTTGGTGCTCCCCCCCGCTGTTATGTTGACAGAGAGGAGGGCTGATGATGCCTGGCGGCTGTCTGTTGCTGCTGCTGCTGCAACAGCACAAGCAGCAACAACAGCAGCAACTGCTGCTGCTGCTGCTGCTCCTGCTGCGGCAGTCGAAGACCCGAAGCAAACGAACGACGCATCAACGACGGCTGATTCAGCAGCAGCAGAAGCTGCTGCTGCTGCTGCTGCTGCTGCAGATTTAGAGGCCTTAAGAGGTGAAGGCCGGATGTCTTTAATTGTCTCCTTTGCTGCTGACCCTCGGGCTGAGACAGAGAGCTGTACGTACACCGCACCGTTGCTGCTGCAATTTGTGCTGCAGCCTCAGCAGCTGCTGCTGCTGTATCTGCAGCAGCAGCTCCTGCGGATGCACCGCCAGCAGCAGAAGCTCGAGCGGCAGCTGCTGCTGCAGCACAGACAGGCTTTTCCTCAGCTTTTTGATCTTTCTTCGCTGGCTTTGCTGCCTCCTTCTTGCTGCTGCTACCGCACGGAGGTGCAGTGGAGTCGATGCGGGGAGCTGCTGCCGCCTCGCAGCAGCAGCAGCAGCAGTAACTGCAGCAGCAACAGCACCAGCTGCAGCAGCAGCGACAGATGGTCTCTCTCTGGCCGCAGCAGCAACTTTCCATTCTGCTGCTTCACTCGACGACATCCTGACCAGCTGAGACTGCAGCTATTCCCAATACAGCCGCAGCAGCAGCAGCAGCAGCAGCAGCAGCAGCAACGGCAACAGCAGCAGCAGGATGCTGAGGAGCTCGTGGCTGTGTGTTCTCCAACGGGGACCTTGTGGGTGTTGCGGTTGCTGCAGCAGGACTGGCAGCAGCAAGAACAGGAGCATCAGGAGAAGTCAGAGCACCAGCAGCAACAGCAGCAGCAGCAGCAGCAGCAACAGCAGCAACAGCAGCAGGTTGCAGAGATTTTAGGGTGCTCTCACTTTGCTGCTGCAGCAGGACCTGTTGAGGTGAAGGCCCAGCCTGATGGCGGCGCGCTGCTGCTGCGGGCTGTAGACAAAATTGTTGCTGTCACCATATCCACTACTAAAGGCACCGCAGCAGCAGCAGCAGCAGCACCAGCAGCAGCAACCGCTGCAGCAGCAGAAAGCGATGCGCCTGCTGCTGCTGTTGCTGCTGCTGCTAAGGGAGATGAAGATGAGGCAGAAGCAAACGGTAGTAAGGCCAAGGAGACAGAACGCTCAGAGCCAGCAGCAATTGCCGCAGCACCAAACGCCTCAGCCACACCTGCAGCAGCAGCAGCAGCAGCAGCAGCAGCAGATGACATCGACACAGGTGAACAAAGAAAAAGGCCGAGAGAAAACGGCGAAGAAGGG